AATGTCCTCCTTGCCCTTGGCCTTCATTTTCTTCTTCTTGCTCTTTTTCTGCTTTTTCGACACTTTAGGAGCGGGTTCCTTCGATACTTGAGAACTGGGATCAATATTTGCATCAACCGTATTCAAATTTATTAGTTGTTTTGTAAGCATTTCAACTGTTTTGATTAAGCTAGAGTTGTCGTTTTGCAGGCGGTTAATTTGCATATACTCGCTTGACTTCACCGACTTCTTGAGACAAACTATTTCAGCCTTCAGTTGATCAATTTCTTCGCTCTGCTTGATACAAGAGGCGCAGCAAGAATTTGCTTCGGCCAGATCGGCAGAGGAGATATCAGCGTTTTCATTCATCGCATCTCCATTCTCAATAGTAATTTCTCTACAGTCTTCGTTCAATTGCTTGTTGTTTTGGCGACAACTGTCCGATATAAGTTCAATCACACTCGGTTCTGCTTCGGTGGCTTTACTTTCGAGAGAATAAGCTTTCAACGAAGCGTGCACGCCTTGGTTTAAGTGCGAAATTATCCGTTTGGTCACTTCCTTGCCGTTTTCGCCCTCAAAATAAATATTCTGACTCTTTTTTTGCCAGGTAACACACAGTGCCTTACTGTCGAATTTCCACATACCACCGCTAGGCGATCGCCAGGTTGTAGTTTCAGCTGTTTGTTCATCCACTACAGTGAGCACGACGGCTTTCAGATCTTCCAACGAACCAGCCCATTTAAGTTTGTTCTTCTTATAGCAGAAATGGCTGTACAAAATGTTTACAGCATTTAAGGAGCTTTCTATATTCAATTCACAATGTCTGGAATCATCACTTTCCACAAAACTTGATAAAGATTTGGCCAATTTTTCAGAGCTCAAGTCTACACGTCCGTTCTCCATGACGTGATAGGGTTATGGTCTGCTGCCTTGCTTGCTCCAAATCTCTGTTCTTGCTTGCTCCAAATCTCTGCCTTGCTTGCTAGGTCTGCTGCCTTGCTTGCTCGCTTCAGGCTCGCTCGCTTCAGGCTCACTCGCTGCGGCAGCAATAACAAGTATTTATAATTTGAATAAAAAAATTATTGAAGAATAACATTTATTTAAATTGGAACAATAAACAGTATGGTAATATTGCACTATAATCAATTAAAACTGCACCAAACCATGCCAATTGTTTAATTTATGCATCAATTAATTAGGGCTGTACGCAGGATTTTTTTCACCAGGGGGCAGTAAGGCCTATATGCCGAAAAAAGTCCCAAATTTCCAGAATAATTAATAATGACATTCTAAAAATCGTAAATATAGTTTTCTCCCCCACCCACTGTGTATGGGCCTTCTTGACGAAGGGCCTTCGCTTGAAACGTCGAGTTTCTGCTTATTTTTTAAGGTAGTAATATAACCACTCAGCACAGCATTTTCAAGTTTTAGACAGCATACTTTTCATGTGCCAAAATAAATTTGAAATATGGCATGTGGCAAGTTTGACCATGGAAAGCATGTGGCAAGTTAGTTGTACATATACTAATATTAATATTGCATTTAGTTCAACATCATTTAGACATGCTTTCCATGTTTTGAACTAAATAATAATAATTTTTTCTATTTTTAAATGCAAAATGTTTCCAATATTTGCAAGACGAAATTTAATAATTCAAACAATTTAATTACAGTACTTCACCCTATAATTCTAGTCAAACCAAATGTTTAAAAGTTTAGGCACAAGCATATGTTGTCTAAAACTGGGCTTTAATTTCTAAATCTTGACCCTCACCCTGAAATATAATGGAAATTAAAGGGGACTGTGTATACTGTACAAGTAGTAATGTCTACCAAAAGAAGAGTTGCATCATAATTGTACTTGACTAAGTGGCGAGTCAATGGCTTGTTAACCATATATTGAATTGCAAAGTTCTGTATTTCCTTTTAAAAGCTTAATTAAACCAAGATTTGCTCTTTCATAGGTATTTTATTCTTCAATTGAATAAGTGCAATATTGCATGACTGTGTTAAACAACAACAAGCAATTTACCCATTGAAAACTAACCGTATGTACATATGAATTTTAATTAGCCCAGTGGCGGAAATTCACTTTTTCCGGTGGGGGTGGGGCGAAGCCTTCTAAATTTCTGACAAAACTTTCAAATTTCCGACAACCCCCCCCCCATTTGCACTCGAAAAGGCTGTTTTTAGTTTCCGAAAATTTGTCATTTTCCACGAAGGTGGGGGGGCGCCCTCCCCACCGAGATTTCCGCCACTGAATTGACCTGGTTACTTTTTGAAGTGTTAAACAATGTGTCTAGATGAGTTCGTCTTAAAAATTAAGTAGCAAATGGATATTCATATCGGATTGGTATTTGTACACATGAAAAGTAAAGGAAATGGAAACCAGGTTAAAGTAATACCATGTACATATGGGTTACTTTTCTTTGGGTAAATTGCCTGTTGTCAGGGTAAAACTGCAATTGTTGCAGTTTGTTAAGACTGCATTCATGCCAGGCCCACTCTTATGTGGCCTGGCTTGCCACATTGATAACATCTTCTTCCTACAAGACAGAATCATAAAGTATATTAATCTGAATTTAATTACTAGTTATAGTCGAATTACAATACGCAAAAAACAACATTTTCTACACTTACTTGCTTGATCACGATTGTAAGCTGTAAATGCAGAAAAAGAAATAAACTATTTTAACTCCAATTATTAACAAGCAGTGATGAATAGAAACTATCAACTCTAGCCACCCTACCGACTATCAACTAGCAACCCTAGACCTATAGTTATAGCCTATAGGTAGTATAAGTTTCTGTTACATTTTTTGAAAAGATAAAGGGAAAACACATACGTTTTGTGCAACTTGTGAATTTGTGGCCTTTCTGGCCACAATTATGGCATTTTCCTAAATAAAGAAGTACATGACATTGAATACAATAGGTTTATATGTTTATTTTAACAGCTATAAATAACAAACAATTGACTGCAATATAGAGTATTAATAGACATGCAATACCTTTAAATTTAATAACATTCTCTCGATCCTCCTGATTCTCTCTCGACTGACCTATTAAAAATATGTACAGTTTACTAAATGTTCATCTAAAACTTCATTAAACACATAGCATATTACCACCCAAAGGGTAGGGAAACTAGTATTTTTCTCATGTTTATTATATTGTTTATAATAGTATTATTATCAGTATATACTGTTTATATATATGCCTTTGGCTGTGGTTTGAATCAGCTGTTTCAACATTTGGCGCATCTACAAAATATAATGTTAATATATATTATACTTAATTGGACTATTCAATTCAAACAAACTTAAACTTGGAATTCTTACTAAAAAAACTTACTTTCCATTTTGGGCGGACTTTGACATTGTGCTGCATCTGCAAAGACAGAAAAATCAAATAAAAAACCTTACATGCCCAAAACAAAAAGACTATTATAGTCCAATGTTAAACATTGGCAATGCACTTTTTACCACATTTAAAATAAAATTCAAGTCGCAGTTGTAGAAGGTAAACTTGCATGACCGAAAAAATGAAAATTCTCAGTTTATATTTTAACCAGACAAACATATCCAGTTTTTCAGAAAGATTTGTAAACAGAGAATACAATTTTTTGTATTGAAAAAAAGTACGAACATAATACCATTTGTATTCGGCAGCTCTTCCACTGCATCATTTTCCTGGTTTTGACTCATCTGTTAATATGTAAATCATATATACTTTATATATATTCTATATACTTTTTACTATAACAAGTTATTTTAGTAGTTAGATACGAGCAGTGAACTCCAATAAGACTGGAACGATAACTCGGCCGTCATCTTTGAAGCCAAATTGAAGGCCGCCATTGGCGGTACGGCGGCGAAAATACACCTCTTTGAAAAACTCGGATTTCTGCTTTTCCAGCTATGCTAGAACATAGCTAAAAAACTTAAAAACATCTACGATACTTGGACTCTTGCACAAATCATGTTTGGAAGCCGTAGAAAAGACTTAACGTTATTTTTTGTGTACCTGAAAGTCGTATTTTGTTCGGCACGGAAAATATTTTGTTATTTTCTTGAATACAAAAATGGTAGCTTTCGAGATTCTGCTGTTAGTGGATGTTGATACTAAAAAAACAAAATTACGAGGAAATTTAACTCTCCCCAGTTCTTTTTTGAAAGTCACAGCACGCGAACATCTCCCGGGCGCCAAATCGCAAATCGCGGGGGATTTCTACGAAAAATAGATTTATTCACGTTTTAAAGAAGTCAAAAAGCACTCAAAATAAACAACTATACCTAGATGTTAATAAAATACAAAAGGACAGTAACTCCAAATAACATTTTGTAGCTTTAATGAATCTACGTTTCGACTATATTTTAGTCATCATCAGGACAGATTAGTGTAATGTTACAAATACTGATATATATATATATATATAGTTAAGAAGGAGGAGCTTAATAGTGTCACTGAAATATGATCAGTTCTTTTGAAGCTTTGGCGCCGTGGTTGAGTTCTGGTATCCTTCTGCGAATTGCAAGGGATTCTTTATATAATAGTAGAGACCAGTGATCAGATCTATCAATTATCTTACAGTTCTCAAATATAAGTTGTGTTGTGTTAGTGTTTATAGTTTCAGTAGAATCAGGCGTTAGTTCCATTAGGGTTTTGATGTGTTGGAAGTGTTCACAAGAGTTAATGTGGGCATTGATTTCTGAACTTTCATGATTATTGTGTTCTTTAAGACACTAACACAACACAACTTATATTTGAGAACTGTAAGATAATTGATAGATCTGATCACTGGTCTCTACTATTATATAAAGAATCCCTTGCAATTCGCAGAAGGAAACCAGAACTCAACCACGGCGCCAAAGCTTCAAAAGAACTGATCATATTTCAGTGACACTATTAAGCTCCTCCTTCTTAACTATATATATATATATATATATATATATATATATATATATATATATATATATATATATATATATCAGTATTTGTAACATTACACTAATCTGTCCTGATGATGACTAAAATATAGTCGAAACGTAGATTCATTAAAGCTACAAAATGTTATTTGGAGTTACTGTCCTTTTGTATTTTATAAAAATACTCAGTGGTTCCCTAACTATTGGCCAAATCTCCGCGCCACTGATCCCTCACTTCATACTGCTGCTGTAATGCTACAAAAGCTGTACTATAAAGTAAAGAAGACCGAGCTTGATATTGCTTTCCTGACTAAATGCTGTGACCACAACATCACTCCTAAATTCGTCCGTTGGAAAACGCCACAACCTGAGAAGCGCATATCACCACAAGATACTGAAAGAGACTATTCAAGAGCAACACAATTCCTTAAAGTGCCTATGACACGAAATTTCACCCCACAGGTTTATGGTTGCATTGTAAAGATCACTTAAAACGAGTTAATAATTTCTTTTATAGAATTTTGGTAACTTGCTTCCTTTGCAAGATATTCAACTTTGTTTCATATGCAAATATCACCGGTGTGACATCACATCGCATAATGGGTTTTCAGAAAAGTATAGTTTTCTTGACGGATATGTATCTAAAAAACTTTAAAATTGCCCTAGTATATGTATCAATTTAATAACTGGTAATTAACCCTCTGTATTTGTTTGTAAAAATATTTTATCATGGTAAAATATTGCGTTTTCAAAATGTCATTATGCGATGTGATGTCACACCGGTGATATTTGCATATGAAACAAAGTTGAATATCTTGCAAAGGAAGCAAGTTACGAAAATTCTATAAAAGAAATTATTAAGTCATTTTAAGTGATCTTTACAATGCAATCATAAACATTTGGGGTGAAATTTTGTGTCATAGGCACTTTAAGACATCTCAAGAAAACCGTACAAGAGCACAAGTTATCGATCGT